CATGACTTCAACAGGATATGACAAGAGTGTAACCAAATACCACAATTAAGCAATTCGTCTAAAACTTAGAAATATCTAGAAAATCTAAAAACTTTGCAATAATAAATACAGTGGAGCTCTCCAGCAACATGCATGAAAAGAGATAAGGCGTATAATTTTCCAAAAGAAGCACCACCAACCACTTTTCTTTTCTTTTTTACATTATCCCCTTTAAATCAGGCAGAAGTTAGGAGTTGTTTGTGAACAAAACAAGAGAATGAAAACAACAAAGGGAATAGCTGACCTTGACTCGATTGGATATATTGCTATACCCCCAGGCTGTCTTATCTGTGACCAGATAATCATGTACAGTTCTACAAACAGGCAATTCTACAAATCCATGTCTACTAACAACAAGATGATTTACAGCTGAGGACCATAGTGCATGGGATTAAATACAACTGCATTCATAGAAAAGATAACTGAGGATTATATGTAATAAGAACATTCAACCTTAACAATGACTAAGAGGGGGAGGACACTCCTTTTAGGTTTTTCTCTTGCTTACTTTTAGTGAGAAAATTTTCAAGAGTAATAACCATAACACACTGCTTATGTAGCATAAAAATTTCCCAATACATCATGAAGATTTCAAGAAAAAAATCAACCAGAAGGCTAATTCAAGAAAAAGATAATACCAGTTCTTCATCCCACCAAGCTTCCCAGCTTTCTTCTCCTTTAACTCCAATTCCACCTCTATAAAGAAGCCAATTTGTCCAATCTCTGAAGTCTTCCACTGTCCTGAGAAGACAGCATAAATAGTTAGTAAACAATGTGGACGAGAATCCAACATAAGGAAACACTAAAAGACAAGATTCGTACTTTTGCCATTCAAATCCAGAAGGATTGAACAAATAGGGAGCAAAAAGCCAAGAAAGAGCCATAAACCAACTGCTGACTGTAAGAAGAATGTAGGAAAGTGCACCGCCCTCATTAAATCCATATGCAAGGTATATGACCACCAAAAGCACAACTTCCAATCTGTAGCAAACAGAGGAAATTAAATCGCTTTCCTATCTTTAGGTTCAAGTAAATATATAGCCAATACAAACATTCTTTGATTGAGAGAGGAAAGAGTAAGAAACACACACCCTTTAACAAAATGACTGCGAGAGTAAAGCCTGTAATTTTCAGAAAATTTAATATGGCGGACGACAAACCCTCTACCAGTTGCTTGATACTGTTAACAAACAAAAATTTAATATATTATGCTTCTAATAAAAAAATAACCAAACTAATAAAAAAGTGAGAGAGAAATCATACCCTTGCACCACCATGAAGAATTGTTCGACCAAAATAATGTGTTCTAGTGCCAAGAGAAAAAGTGAAGAAGACAGTGCAGAGCTGAAGTTGCATTGTA